TGTCGTGAAGTGAAGTGAAATGGACCAGATAATTATATTGATCGTTTATCAACTCATGATCTTTGATCAATCTACTAATCTATCGAATATAAATTAAGGTTATTTTCAATCTCTTTCTTTGTCATTTATCAATTCAATAAAGGTAATAAACTTTCTTTTCAATTGGTCAATTTCTTAATTCGAAGAAAATAAAGAAAAGGGAAAACGATGGTCATTCCTTCATCTAAATCTTCTCTATACACACTCTTTACCATTAGTTTTTCCGTCTCATTTTATGTAATCTAACAAGAATAATAGTTTATTATAATTAAAACTAACTCTAGTTTTAAAAAAAATCTTTTATCCTTAATGAAATGATTTAAGTCAATCGATATCACATAAATTAAAATAGATATCAAAATTCTTTTTGGACCATTATTATTATTATTTCGTTATTCCATTGGTCAAACAACGCTATACAAAAGAATAAGACATGTAACCGAATGACAAACTTTTTTCTACTTTATTTCTTTTGCCTTTTGAAGTAATTACTAATACCAAAGTATAATCATATTTTTGTTTGACAATTAGGAGTCCATCATGTTACATCAAAGTAGCTAAAATAATAATGGACCAAACTTCAAGTATTAAAAAAAACATATTATGTAGGGACATGTAGATAATAGAAAAGCATTTAGAGGTCTTACTTTAGTTTTGTGTTGGTTGTTTGGTGCATAAGATAAAAGGTTGGATATTTATAATTAAATGTGAGACTGAATTCATAATACTTTATTAGGTTCATAGGATAAGGTGAGATGCCAAATCTAACTAAGTGTTATTTTATTTTGCCTTTCAAATGGAATAAATTAGTCTAAGGATTATAATCACAAAATATACTAGTCCGTGAATGAAACGAATCAATGTTTGATATGCAGTAAAAGCATAAATAGCTTAGAACAAAATTTTAGTTTCGCTTTATCTCTTTTTGATTACTAATCATGATATAACTTAAATGACAACGTTAGAGCTCAGTACTATATTATGCATGTCAAATCATATAATAATAGTATCAGGATTAATTATTCTAACATAAAACAATGAAAATGACAAGAATATTCATGATATTCTTCCAACTTTTTTTCTACTAATAAGTAAAGTGGAAAGTATTTTTATAAATAAACAACCTTTTAGAAATTATATTAGACATGTCTTTTTTAAAACGACAAATTAAATCGTCAATTAAAATTAACAAATGTTAGCATAACCAATCTTCGAACTAAAAAATCCCTTAGTGGTTTTCTTCTTGTGCGTGTATATGACTCATTGACAAATGACACATAACATTAGAGCAAAAATTGAGTGATTAAGAAAGGTGATAAGACGCCATGGTCAATTCATGAAAAATAATTATCCAAAATTTTCAAAATTGAATCTTTTTTATATATTATTAATTATTAATTGGAAGGCATTTAGAGGTCTTACTTTTGTGTTGGTTGTTTGGTTCATAGATAATGGTTGGATATTCTATAATTAATTTAAGAATGAATTCATAATACTTTATTTGATTCCTATGATAAGGTGGGATATTAAATCTGAGCAAGTGTTATTTTATTTTACTTTTCAAACGAAATAAATTAGTCTAACGGTTATAATCACGAAACATCTTAGTTCGTAAATCAAAGTGATCTAATGTTTAGTATATTGGTAAAAGTAGTCTTGGGACAAACATTTGGTTCACTTTTATCCCCTTTTTATTACTAAAAAATTGTGGTATAACTTAAATGACAACGTCGGGATTATATTACGCTTATCAGATCATAGAATAATAGTATTGAGATTAATTATTTTTACCCAAAATAATGAAAATTATAATAAAACTATCCCTAGGATCCTTCAAAACTCTTTTTTCTACTAAATAAAATAGAAAGTATTTTTATAAATAAACAACCTCTTAAATATTATACAATACATCTCTTGTTTATGACATATACTAAATCATTAATCATAACTTATCTTGACTCATTGACATTATAGCAAAAATTGAGTGATTAAGAAAGGTGATAAGCCCACATGGTCAATTCAAAAACAACTATCCCTCATTTTCAGAATTGGATCTTTTATTAATAACGAATCACCAACTTTTTTTCTTTTTTTGTTCAATTGGTGTCAAGAAGCAATGAACTATCCAATAATTTTTTTGTGGATGAAAAATAGACCAATATATAGTTACTTTTGGTAAACAAGTGATTTTATTGGTTGTGTTGTGTCATTTTGTTATGCAAAACTCTTTTTGTTATTACTACTTTTTCGTGTAAATAAGTTAAAGTTTCTTCCTTTCCCCATCCCAACCCCCACCCCACCCCACCCTACCCCACCAAACCCCTTTTTTTCACTTTGAAAAATTGATAAGCCTTTAGCACCGTCAATTACATCCATTTTGGCAGTATCTAGACAAGTGGACGTATAGACATAAACTTTGTGAAAATTTTAAATTAACATTATATTTAAACATAAGTGCAAATTAAAATTTGTTATAATTTTTTATGAGTAATTTTATATGAAAACAATTTACTTATTCATGGCCAGAGAGGGGACAAACATCTAATCACAGCTACCAAACAAAAATTAGATGATTTTGACATGAGTTCCTTTTTATCTTCACCTACTTTCTAAATTTTTCTCTTAAATTTCTTCAAATGAGTGTGGATCCATAATTATATAATTCCACTTCCTTGAAAAGTGGTAGGGAACATATTTTAAGTATTTAAAAAGTATCAAAATATCATTTCAAATTATAGTATTTGGAATATTTTAGAGTGAACGATGATTTTCACTAATCTTTTTTATTTCAAGTGAAGCTCATATTCAAACAATTTAACCTTTCAAATAATGAGTTTACTTTTAACTTAATCCTGATTTTTTGTAATTCTAACCAAATATTATCTACATCCTTAACTATATTTATCAAGTTTGGATAACCAACTAGGTCTAGATCACAAATAGAACTCTTCGACATTTTATTTAGTTCAATATTAACAATTGAATTAGTCTTATTTGTCGTGTCTAACACAGATTCTTATGGAGTCATCATAGTTCACAACAAACTTTCTCAATTAAAGAAAAAAATAGTAATTATAAAACGTGAAAAGTCTTTTACAATTATTATAATATGTTAGAAATTCGCGTTATACAACAATAGCATATTCAATATAATTTTACAAGTCCGAAAAAATGGGCATCAGCCAAGCATAAGCAAATTGCGTAATCAAAGTGAATGTCTGGCCAAGCCGGATTTCTCAAGGCTAAAAAATTAAAAGCAAAAAGGAACCTTCTTAGAAGTACCCGCCATTGCTGACTCAGATTACTGTACCAAATAGGGTCCACACGCCTACTAACCCTCTTCATGTGATCAGACCAATCACAGTGCGCCACGTTTGAACCCTTTAGTTCTCGAAATAAAATAATACAAGTTGGATAAAATACCATGAAATAAAATAAACCAAAATTTAATTATGAAATATTTCATTATTCAGTGTAGCAAAGATAAAGGCCAAAATCAAAGCTTAAAAATTCACAAACTCAATATTTTCTCTGTCTCAATTTATATCACATCTCTTTTTTTGCTTTTACACTTTTTATTACTTGTTTTAAATGAAAAGTTTCAATAATTTTTCTTTGAAGCTTAAATTTTGTATCAATGTAGTATTGTCTAATTTCTTATCCTAGTGTCCACTATCTATATTGCGGTTGGCTAAATTCGAATGGACGAAAAGTTTTGGTTAAATATTTTCTAATGGAGGTAATTTTATTTAGAGTTCGAATTCAAAATTTATGATTTAAGAGTAAAGAACGTGTGGCCTAGTGGTCAATGAAATGGTTGAGAACTTGAAGTTCTCAGGTTCAAAACTCAGGAGAGACAGAGATCACTAAGTGATTCTTTCTATCCGTCCTAGTTTCGGTAGACAAAGTTATCTGATACTTATATAGCTGATATGAGGTGATAGATATTCTATGAAATTAGTTGAGATGCACAAAAATTGATCCGAACACCACGATCATAAAGTCACCAAGTTAGATGTGTAAGCTAGGAGAGTGGTAGTAGTAGAAAGTGTTAACTGTGAGGGTGGGCAATTAACTGACCATGGTCACACTAATAAATCCCACTACAGACCCCTCTATAAAAAGTTCCCATTAGTAGTGAAGCAAAAATCAAACAAATTACTTATAACTCAAATAGAAAGTGTAGAGAGAGAAAGTCGTCAAGAAAGGTTAGATTTTTAGATTTCTTGCTTATTTTTACCAATAATTATGTTCTTGTTACTCAATTATGTAGCTTTCCCTTTTTGTTTTTTTACTTAAAAAGTTTCCATATTGATGGATAATGTTGTTTGTTTCTTCATTTGTCATTTTTTTTTGTGTTCAATTGTGATTTTGCTTGTCCAATTCTTCAAGGAATTCTGATTTTTCCATTTTGAATTGCTTTTGCCCTCTTGTTGATCATTGTTTTGTGGATTTTTTTGTTATTGTTTTCGCGGTGATCATGTCTGTTCTAATGATGGTTTTCCAATTATGTGTATATGATATCCAGTTTGAGATTTTGAAGGTTTATTTCAAGTCAAGGCTTAGTCAATGGGCTAATGTTGGATGATGTTTTAGTTATCATTTGAAGTTGATGAAACTATAGTATTGTTTCGTTGTAGTTCATGTTCTGTTACTGTTACTATCTGTTGTTGTTGGTATTATATATTGTTTCTTGTTCTTTTTCTGGAATGGTTTGACTGTTTTTCCTTCTGCTGTTATTGTTATTATCTGTTGTTTCTTGTACTTCCGTTACTTCGTTTTCTGGAATGTTTTGACTGTTTTCCCTTCTGCTGTTTTTGTTATTATGTGTTGTTTCTTGTACTTCCGTTACTTCTTTTTCTAGAATGCTTTGGACTGTTTTTCCTTGAGCCAAGGGTCTATCGGAAACAATCTCTCTACCTCTGAAGTAAGGGTAAGGTCTTCATACACCGCTACACTGACTATGTTGTTGTTAAAGTTGGTGAAAGTTACCTCTGAAAATAAACAGGCTGATTTCTTAATTGGTGAAGTTTACAGCCTAGATATCTATCCATTTAGAGTTATCATCATTAGTTTCTAATTTTGTTCAAACATTTTCCGATGAATCTGGTAAGTTAATTGAGTGGGCTGATTGAAATGACTTTGAGCTTTTGGTTCATTTCCTTTACATGACACTTATGAACATGTTTGATGATCAAGAATTGATCAAACTTGTTCAGCTTTATGTCTTCAATGACACTTTAACTCTGCTCTTCTGTATTTACCGGTACACTTAAGTTTTACAGTAATCTATCTTTAGATTATGAAGCACATTCGATATGTCCGCCTAGATTTATATTTTCTTTAAAATAAAAATTAGAGGGTAATTAAAAGTTATATCTGATAAATCTGTTGAATGATCTTTTGGATTTTTCTTCTTCTTTATGATTGTTGTTATACAGAAAGTCGTTGCGGAATTTAAGTCCTGGTTATGTGGTAGCTGTCATTGTTTGTGCCTTTGTCTTATTTACTCTCTTTCTGTGATTTAACAGAGAAGTAGATCGGACCGCTAGCTTTTCCGGCTTTGATCTATTTCATCATCTGTCTACCATGCGTCCTCTGTCTCCGTCAGCTCCACCTCCAGGTTGGATGAGTTCCTATGGGACTGATGAAGAAATCTTTTTGGTCCTCAACCAGATTAACCGTGGATCGCCCATCCCTGATGATTTGATTGAGGATAATCCCTATAAGTATGATCCTTCAAATTTGCCAGGTAAACATCAAGTTTAATTATTGGTTTACTGTCCATTCATCAATCAAATGATGTTCGTAGATTCTGTGTTAAAAAACTGCTGTCCTGTTTGCAGAAGAGTTTGTTTTATCGCCTAATCTGTGTTCAAATGGCTGTATCCAATTAGGAAATCTGAAACTTGATTTGCTTTTAAAGGAAGGAGTATAGGGATCTTAATTAACGCCTAATTTCATTTACTATTCCTTTGATAGAGCATGTTGAGAAAAGGATAAAATGTGTTGGATTGAAGTCGATTGTGAAGTACCAGATCGCGATCTTTAGTACTTCAGTGTGTTTGATAGAAAATGTGGCTTTATGAACCTTTAAAAGACAACCTTCTATTTCAAGATGATAAATTAATAGAGCTTGTTGAGAAAAGGATAAAACATGTTGGATTGAAGTCGATGGTAAAGTACTAGACCGGCGATCTTTAATACTTCTAAGAGTGTTTGATAGAAAATGTGACTTTATGAACCTTTAACAGACAACCTTCTATTTCAAGATGATAAATTAATAATGTAAAGTTATAGAACAACAACCTTCGGAGGTGTTATTTAGAATAAGTTCTGGGCATTGAAACTGATCTAGCTAAGTAGTTGGTCATAGCAGAAGACAGGTCTTGTATCACTATTTCCCTCATGTTTCTTTCTGCAGAACAAATGTATAACACAAAACCACTTCGGACTTTAGATAGGAGGGTGTGGAGTTAGCTATTAGGGTAGAAGGCTAGTAGGCAGTGGAATGTTGTCTTGATGCTCGAAGATTTAGGCTTGTTGGTGTCTATTGTAGTACTAGTCGTATTCTTGTAGTTCTTGCCTTTGATATTTATCATCATGTGTTGTTTATTGTGTTTCGATTATCACATTATTTTGTTGTTGTTATTGTTTTTTTCTTGTAGGCTATGCACTGCTTTCCTTATTAATTGCTATGCTTGCTTCACTCTTTTCTTCTTCTTTTACTTGGATTTGTTGCACTTAAGCCGAGAGTCTTTCGGAAACAACCTCTCTACCTCCACAGGGTAGTGGTAAGGTCTGCGTACACTCTACTCTCCCCAAACCCCACTTGTAGGATTTCACTACGTATGTTGTTGCACTTCGGACTCTTAACATTATTCTTTTTGGATATATTTATCATTTATTCTTTTCACCTGATATCATTCTCCTCCTTTTAGCAACAGGAGGAAAACGGTGGTGGTTAGATCAATATAATATGTTTTCCCTCTCTTGTTTTAGATTGTTGAGTACACATGTTTTCTGTCTCTCTTCTTTTACATTGTTGACAAAATGGTTCGTATTTTTTTTGGTGATTGCATTTTATAATCAATTTACTTTGAGGCAGCTTTCATCTGTTTTCTTACTAACCATTCATGATACACATAGATGGAGCATGGTTCCTAGTAAGAAAAACTGAGGAAAAATCGACGGAATATGGACTCTGGAGAGTAAAAGATTCAGCCTGTGAAATATTTGCAAATTCTGACATCAGTGGTTGGAGAACCACTTTTGAATTCTTTCTAGTCCAAGCCTCTATCGAACAGAAAACTGTCTGTATAATGCATGAGTATAAAGTAACACCGAAAGGGCAGCATGATCTGACCAAGTCACAGGTAATCTTTAGTCTTTACTACCATCTTTCCTATATTCCAATCTTTACGCAGATGAACTAATGGTTTGGTTGAATATTTTGCAGGACGAAGTACGTCACCTATTGGGATATGTTATCTTGATCCCATCAGTTAACCCCGACACTAGCGGTAATGATGGGCAACGTTCAATTGCTGAACCCCAGGTTGATGCTCCTTCTTCTCCTTTCTCACTAGTACTTCCATCCTGCTAATATCCAACTAGCTTTAACATAGTTTTGTTGTTATATGGTTGTGTATGTCGGTGTAGATTGTCTTGTGGGGAATAACAAAGTCATTGGCCAAGTTCTGAATAAGCTTCATGAGTTCAACTCTATATTCCTGTTTTTCATCTTTGTGGTTTAGAAATGTCTCGGATTTGTTTTGAATATTCAGGATATTGTACCTAGATGACTATTGTGCATTAGTTAATGATAAGAAAATCATTTTAATTGCACAATTTTGTGATCGAACGAGTTTGTAGTTCACATACTTGGGTCTTAATTTCAGATTCGCTCCATGTGGTATACTAATGTGTTTGTATGCTGTCACCGAAACCATCTAATGACTGCGGAAGTTTTTTCAGGTAAACAGACAGATAGAAGGGGCTGGGTCATCACTTGTTGACAAATCGATAGATCAGTTTGTTGATGATAAAGAAGCTGAGATAGATTGCATTATACGAGGGGACTACCTGGAATTGGATGATCTTATTGATGGAGCATCACATGATTCGTCTAGTTCGGAGAATACAAGTCGCCAGAGCTTTGCATCTGATGAATTTTTCAACTCTCGGGCACTTCTTGCAGAACTGGATGATGAGAAGAAGGAAGATTTGAGTGGAAAAGGTTCGACCAGCAATCATTCCATAATGATGTGTCAAATAGCAAATGATGTAGTTGTGCAGCCTGGACCTTTAGGTAAGTAAACGTCTTCGCCCTCAACTTCTATAGTATTCATAAAACACTCAATTGTGATGAACTTGTTCAACAATCTATCTTTTAGCCAATTATCATGAAGAGCTAATTCGTTCGAATCATGAACACCAAATTGAAAGAGATTTGACATTTGGAAGAAACACATGAATGTTTAGAGTAAAACTTATTCTTTGATTCATCTGGACATTGGAATAATGAAAACTGTCTCGTATTCTTTTTACCGCGAGAGAGTGGGAACATAAAAGAAAGAATCACTACAGGGTATTGTACTTTACTATGCCAGCATATAGTTTTTGCTTGGGAAGTACACAACAAAACAGGATTGTGCTTGGCCTACTTGTAATAGTCTGTTGTGCTTGGCGTCGATTTTTTTCTTGTAATCACTGACTGAATGTGCTACTCTTCCTTCATTATTCTACTTGTATTGCGCGCATCCAATTCTACTATTTCTCTTAAACCTCTATATCGGCATTGCTTGGCAGGGTTTCTAATCAAAGGGAGTGACGCTAAAGCCAAAGAAACTCAACAAGCTCCTGATAATGACAAATCCAAATGTCAAGATCAGGCTGCTAAGAAGCTGAAGGCTGAGCGTACGGATGAAGGTCCATCACATGCTCGTAGAGCGACAACATCTTCCAGCAGCAGCAACAGCAGCAGTGATGAACCTGGACGTGCAGCTAGAAGGGAGGCGAAACGTTCGAAGAAGCTCATGAAGTTCCTGTGTTTTATGCCTTTCTAGTTTCTAGTTCCTTGCTGTTACAACTTTCACTAGTAGTTGATGAACACATGCAAGCAGCCTAGAACAGTAGTTTAACCAAAAAAAAAGAAAAAAAGAATTTAACCCAAAAAAAAAGAAAAAAAGAGGAGAAGGTGGGTGTGTATTTGATATTTTATGCATTAGACCAAATTTTAAGCTTTATGATAAATTTAAGATTTAGAATAGGAAAGTAATTCTCTTTAATACAGATGAAAAATTGGAACATTACTCATTTGTAATATTAAGAGACCAGCATTAGAGTACTTTTTATAATTTTATAGCTCTTCAAATGGTTTTCTTTTTCTCCTGATTTCCCTCTTGGTGTCTGGTGGTGCATTGGAGCCGGACAAACTCTGGATTCGCACAAAAAAAAAGAGTAAAATGCTCCTTGACAAGGAGCGATTGCATAGTTGGGATTCGAACCCGAGACTTCTAAATAGTTGCCCTTCACCCCAATTTTTGTTGGTTTCAAATGATTACTAGTTTATTGGTTGCTAATACCAAAAATATATTATGATAGGCAATCCAAGATTTTGAGTTGTAGTCCATTGATTAAGAGCCCGTTTGGATTGACTTAAAAAAAATAGCTTTTAAGTCAAAAATAAAAAGTCAAACTGAAATGATTTTTAAGTCAAAAAATAAAAAGTAGGGGGAGACTTACTTTTGATTTCTGACTTATTTTAAGTTATTTTTTACCTTGTCAAACACTTCGTAACTTATTTTAAGTCATTTTTTACTTATTTTAAGTTATATTTTATATTTGCCAAACACTTCCAAAAGTCAAAAACTGACTTAAAAGTAGGTTTGACCGACTTTTAAGTCAAAAATAAAAAGTCAAACTGAAATGACTTTTAAGTCAAAAAATAAAAAGTAGGGGGAGACCTACTTTTGGTTTCTGACTTATTTTAAGTCATTTTTTACCTTGCCAAACACTTCATAACTTATTTTAAGTTATATTTTATATTTGTCAAACACTCCTAGAAATCAAAAACTGACTAAAAAGTAAGTTTGACCAACTTTTAAGTCAATCCAAACGGGCTCTAAGTGTTCTTGTCAAGGAATTGGGACTGGACAGGTTAAATGTGGGCCGGACCCAAACATCCAAGTTAAAGGGATGGAAAAAGTTAAGTAAGGCCCACTAGAAACCTAGATGTTTAGCAATCCAATAACAAAGTTAGGCAAGGCCCACTAGAAACCTAGATTTTTAGCAATCCAATAACGTGGTGGAAGTCATTAGTTCGAGTTTGCTCATTAAACCCGTTATGAGTTTTTCTAGTTGGATTTGCTCCCATCATCATTCAATGATAGTGGATAAGAGGCTTCTGAGATTGACGTGCGGGGACATGATTGACTATATTTTTCTGAGTGAACTCCAAGCAATATGAAACATATGGATATAAGTTATGTCTTGGCATGAAAGACAATTTTGCCTACGAACAAGGAAACAATAAGTAATGCAAGATTGTTCGATTTTGGCCTAGGGGCTAGGATGAACACTGGGGGCATGCTTAATACATGACCTAATGAGCCGACTAATTCCTTTACGGCTCTCCCCGTTGCTTCCCCTTCTCTCTTTCATATTTTCACCTAGCGTTAGTAAGTCTGTCTAACGAATCTGTATAAAAATATCAGTCATTAATACCTTCTTAAGTATTTTTTGAACTAATTCCATATCAATTTAGAACTGCTTATTTCTCATGTCATGATAATCTTGTTTAAAATAAGTAAAACTAGAAACGACGAGACAAAGCAGGTCAATAAACAAATAGTTGCCCTTAATTATACTCATAATAATAAACAATAATTAACCAAAAAGAATCACATGATCTTGTGAGTGACATTTAATTAGTCATTATAAAATGGGAAAAAATTAAAGGTTTGGGTTTACTAAAATAATGTTTATAAAATAAACTTTATCAACTTGTGATAATATCATCTATTGTTCATCTGCCCACTAGAGAAAATATTTCAAATACGCTAATTATGTTTTAGTAGCAAGACGTAGTAGGATAATCGAAATGATTGAAATTAATATGTGGACCATATTTCATTAGTTTTCAAGTGATTTTTTTTACCACTCATCAATATATATTAATAATTAATTAAGGAAAAATTGTATAAAATAATATACTATTAATTCAAATTAAATATTATAACCACAGTTTCATTTAATTCTAATCCATAGCAAACACTGTCATTCGACTCTCTCTCCAAAAATCTCGCTCGCCACTCTCCCTGATCTCGCTCGTCACTCTCCCTCACCTCTCTCACTATATATACAAACACAAATGTATAAATTGTGTTTGTATAAAGCGAGAGAAAATTGTATATACAAATACATACATATCTCTTCGTCCTATACACTTATAATTATACAATACAAATCTTCCCATGCCTAGTTCTCTTTTGCCTTTCTCTCTTTCTCGCTTAAACAAACACAAATTATACAAAATACAATGTATAATTTGTGTTTGTATAAAACGATAGAGAGATTTGATATACAAATTCAACTGTTTTAACTCGATTCAATTGTATACAAATTCAAATTTTATGCAGATATACAAACACAAAGTACATATACATATACAAACGCAATTTTCATAGATACAGACGTCAGATTTATACAAATCAGATGCCTGCGATTTTATACAAATCAAAGCTCCCTACAATTTTTGTATAGATCTGATGCTCCATAGCATATAATTTGCTATGTAGCGCAAATAACAAAATTATAATTATGGAGCGCTAATATGATTTTTATATTTTCTAAACCTAAAATTTACCCATTGATTAATATATATATATATATATATATATAGCTCAAGTCAGAGACATTAAGTTGGACTATATATTATTTACTTCCACTGATTTTGCTTTATGACTTTTTGACTTTGTGTCAATTTTGGCTTTTTAATATTAAGGTATATATTTACGAGGAAAAAATAAAAAGAAGGAATAAAACCTTTTGTTTTCAACTTTAGTGATGATTACACATGTTATGAGGAGGATATTTAACGTTTTTTTTGTTTTGTTTTAATCATCCTACGGCTACAAAAAAACGACAACTTAAATCTACGGTCAATCTATCTCCATAGTGGCGGGAAACTATGGATTAATTAATTAATAATACAAAGAAAAGTTCATTATTGAAAAAGTTTTTGTTTGGATAATTAAGTAAGGTGAAAATAAAACATAACTGACACAATAAGCTACTAAGGAGTCATACTTATTAAGGATGATGATGTTGGATTTTAATAAATAGTGAAAAGAGATACAAAAGCTCTAATCTGTTTTACGATTCGTTATAAGTATTTTTTTCGTTTTTTGTTATTTGAATGATTGTAAACTCTTCAGATGCACCTTAATGAAAACCTACTTCTTAATTTTTAGAAAATACAATCTTTTTGAATCAGTGTTGCTCTTCTAAAGTAATATTTTAATGGTTATTTTATCATATTCAAAATTTAGAAAAAAAAACATCAACTTTTTTTATAACTTCCTTCAATTTATAAAAAAAGAAAAAGGTTCAAAATTCTAAAATGCCTTCTTTTATTTTTTTAAATTTCACACCCAATCAATTATACACATAAAATGAAATGAAAATGGCCATAAGTTTTTATTTTTATTTTTTATAGTACATATTATTAAATTACAAATTTAGCCAGGTGTACTTTTATTTAATTTATTTTTTGGGTAAATAAAAAATGGGATAAAGACAACACCGACGGCAGGTAGACCTCTTCTTACAGGTGGGGCCCTCACATGATTTCCCGGGCTTTCTTCTTCCGTTACTTCACACTTCTCATACGTTACTTCCTCTATTATTATTTTACTCTAAAAAACTACACATTTATAATTTGTACTATTCTTTTTATTTATAACTTTTTAAAGCAATTTTAATTACTAGCTTCTATTTTTATCTATAAAAAAAATAATTAAGAGAGGAGTATTGAAAACACCCTTAATTTGGTGTGAATTATAAGTTTTATTTCTGAATTATTGATAGTCTTTAATATACTCAATTACTTGACAAACTAAACTTAAATACATTATCGATCTTGTAACATGAATGAAATATACCCCTAAATTCTTGTCAAACTTAAGGGTGTTTTCGATATTTCTTTCGATTTTTTATTAAAAACTTCATATTTCTACATGAGTTTAAGACCACTTGATATGTCATGTGGCAGATTGAGAGTTTATCTAAGTAGAGAAGCGTGTTTTGAAGATTGTCGATTGTTATAGAACTAATAATTTAACCCCATATAATTAGATATATCTTTTGTATAATTTAAATTTGTCAATCTCAATAATTCTCAATAATTCTTGAGTCTCATCTAGATTGACTTTTCTTCTTTCATTTAATTCCAAAAATTACTCGAATCACATAAATATTTAAAGTAAACCAACATAATGCGACGATAACAACATACATAGTGAAATCTCACCAGCGAGATTTAAAAAAAGCTAGAATGTACGTAAACCTTATCACTAGAGACTATATTCTAAAAGACATAATACATAAATATGTCTTTTAACTTGACCTCATTTCACATTTATATTCTCCAACTTTGAGTGTGCATAAATAGACACTTAAACTTGTATAAAGTTGAACAAGAAGACATACGAGTTCTATGTGGCATAATACACACAGGACACCACGTAGGACACAAATTGCCATGTAGGATGCCATGTAGGACGTGTGTGTCTATTTGTTCAAATTTATACAAATTTGAGTGTTTACTTGTGCATATTCAAAGTTGAAGGACATAAATGCAAAATAAGATAAAATTAAGGGTATATTTATGTATTATGTCTTTCTAAAAACACCTGGCTCAAGTGTGATAAACTCCGGTATAAAGAAGAACAATTTCCAATAAATTAATTTTATACAATATGGAGTAATATTTTTTTTTAAAATAGCAATCACGTGGATTAGTGATTTAAGAAAATGAAATAAACAAAGGAAAGGGGTAATTTTGTCATTTAGCATCATCACCACTTTATCCACTTTCCTCCACCAGTCAAAAAACGGTCGTCAGAGAAACTGAACAGACTTCACCCCACCCCCCTTTCACCCCTCACCCCCACTCCACCCCACCACCCCACTAATCAGCTACCGGTAACCGGTAACCGGCTAATTGTATTATATCATGCCGCAAAAGCGCATGATTGACGGGCCCATAACGTATACGTGGCGACTTCTTATTGGTCCATTTCAAGTCTCCGGGATTCATAGCGTTACTGCATAAAGAAACTAAAAGCAGAAAAAAAACACACACCCAAAAAACTCATTCTCTCTCTAGAAAAATAATAATAACTAAACTGTGTTTCTTCATTCGATTAATTTCTCAATTTTCTCTTAATTTTTCTACTATTTTACCATAAAAAACCCAACTTTTTGAATTCTACAATGTGCGATCTTTCTATTTTGATCAGTTTTGTGGATTGAATTTTAGGTGTTTTGGATTTTTTTGGGGAAAAAAAATGCTGGAAGCTGTGGAGAGTTCAGTGCATGGAAATGGGTTTGCTCAGTTACAGAGCTGTGGGGATAGCAGTGAAGAGGAGTTATCTGTGCTTCCAAGGCATACTAAAGTTATTGTAACGGGAAATAATAGGACTAAGTCTGTATTAGTTGGACTTCAGGGAGTTGTTAAGAAGGCCGTTGGGCTTGGTGGTTGGCATTGGCTGGTAATGATTTTGTTTATTTTAGTTTAAAGGTTTGGGGTTTTTTAATTTATGTTTAGCTAAAATGGGTTGTTTTTGAAATATGAAGTTTGGGTTTTGAGTGAATTTTATACTGGGTTTTCAATGTGGTTGGTATTGGCTGGTAATGATTTTGTTTATTTTAGTTTAAAGTTTTGGGGTATTTTAATTTATGTTTAACTAAACTGGGTTGTTTTTGAAATCTGAATTTTGGGTTCTGAGTGAATTTTTATACTGGGTTTTCAATGTGGTGTGGTTCTTGGTTGGCATTGGCTGGTGATTGTTCACTTTATTTTAGTTTAAAGTTGTGTGTTTTTTTAAATTTATGCTTAGTTAAATTGGGTTGTTTGTGAAATCAGAAGAATTTTATACTGGGTTTAATGTGGTTCTTTTGGGGGTTTTGTCAAGCCATTCATTGAGTGAAAAGTTGAGTTTTGCTTCCTTATATGATGATTTTTCCATTTATTCTGGTTTGGGTTGTTTGCAGTTTGGTGAATTTGAGTTTTCAGCTGACAAAGTTTCAATTTTTTCTTATTCTGCTGCTTTTTTGTTGTGAACTATGGCCTTGCATCTAAGTCTTATTGTTTCTCTTTATTCTGCTGCTCTTGGGTATTTACAAAACCAATTAATCAGGAACTGAATTTTACATTTGAGATTAAGGCCTTCAAGAACAGGGTTCAATTCTGTTAATTCCTTTTCATTGATAGATCTAGTGTTTTAAGGAGTTCTTTTGGGGTAGAGAATTAGGGGAGTTGCTTTTTTTCGAGTTTCAAAGGCTATATGATGAATCTTTTTTTTTTCTTCAAATGTGTTGTAATCTCCAGATTAGAATAATTGAAGTAGCAGAATATAGTAATACTGAGGGATTTATGTTTTATTAGTATTAGCTGTGGATTATTTGTTTTATGAACTGATGAATTTTACTTCCCAGAGATTCTGTTTACTTTTGGGCTCCATTGAATTTTGAGGGTTCAACAGATCTGTCAGTATTAGAACTAATATCCATAGCCATTTTAGTTTTTTTTTTTTTTTTTTTTGTGTGTGTACAAGTATAAACAAGAGAGGATTTGGCTTCTTTTTTTGTAATTCACTGTCAACTAGAAGATTCTTCCAGATTAGACATAATTTTCTTGCTTAATTAATTAAACCTTGTGATAATTTTGTTGTTAATATGTTGTGCCAGAATTAAACAGAACCATATATCATGTTTTGTTGTTTAATACTTGTCTTTTCTGTTGTTTTTTCTCTGATAGAATCACATTTTAAACATTAGCCTAATTTCGTTTTTGTGAAACCGTTCAACGTAAATTGCAGGTTCTTACGAATGGCATAGAGGTGAAACTGCAGAGGAATGCTTTAAGTGTGATTGAAGCTCCTACTGGTAATGAAGATGATGATGACCTTGAATTTGAAAATGTTCAGTGGAATGGTTCAGATATGGGTGAGTCACCTGATTTATGATATATTATATTCCCTATGTTTCTATTTGTTTATCTTGTTTTGACTCTGCACGAAGCTTAAGAAAGTAAAGAAAACTGTTTAATTTTGTTACTTTAAACTTCAAGATATGCAAAATGTACCAAAATGTTATTTAATCTTGTGGTCTAAAACGTGTCTTGCGGAAAGCTAGAATTAAAGAATTTTCAGAAAAAGGTCGAAACATTCTTTTGTATGGAAGTTCAAAATATGATATGGTTCTCTTTATATTTTTTTTATATCTTTTGATTCTTCTACTATAAGAGAATTTGCATAGTCGAATTCTTATAGTAGAGTTGTTACATAGGATTCTTTATGTACAGAAAACTTTTTGCTTTAATCACTGCTGCTATCTCTTTCTTCTTTGTTCTGATTATTGCCATTTGGCCCACTCTTATGTAAAGTAAATGTGATTTATTTCCTTTCTATTTCTTTAGCATCCGATGATACTCAAAAGTCTCATAGGTCAAGACATCGCGCTCTTAAACCGTACGGGTCATCTCACAAGGCCATGAGCCGCTCCCTTTCATGTGACTCACAGTCGAAAGGATCTATTCCTCCACATCGTGGGTCCATGGTATGAAAGTATCTGAAGTTGTTTTTTTTTAATAGACATTACTTCAACTTTTAGTTGTTGACTCTTTTAAATTTCAATAATCATTTGAAAATTATATCATCTAACAGAAGGTTGACCTTGGCAAACTCGAGATGGCTGCACTGTGGAGATATTGGCGACACTTTAACCTTGTAAGTGGATTACAGTAATTACCAGTGTGTTTTATCATCCTTTTAAGTATTAGTATGTGATATTAACTTCATTACCAACTTCTTTTCCGGCCATTTGAACAGAGGGAAGCTATACCTAACCCGTCGAAGGAACAACTAATTGATGTTGTTCAAAGGCACTTCACATCCCAGGTACTTTCTTAATTATCTGTATGTTGCTGTTGCTTTGTGTTTCTATTTGATCTATTTCAATGTGATGTTAATTGCGGTCAATATTTTCCTCTGCACTTCCATTAAAACATGAGTTTTAGGTATTTTTCTGTACTTCTGTTCATAGTTTTCCTTTCATGTTTTACTATGTACTTACTAATTGATGTTGGCATGCTGTTCTTCCGTTCTTGATACATATAACGATGACACACTTCATTAGTCCCGTTAATCATCATATCAGGCCTTCTTCCATGTATAATTGCGCTTTTGTTATATCATGCTCCTTGTTTTCCAAATCATGCACTACTGACTGCTATATTTGTCACTTTTTTTTCCGGGCTGAAGCAATTGGACGAGTTGCAGGTAATTGTGGGATTCGTCCAGGCAGCCAAGAGACTCAAGACTGTCTGCAAATGACTCGGGGCAACCCCTTTTTTAGCATGCTCCTAACTCTAACAAATAGTGGTACCTTTTGTGTCCACTCACTATTGCTGCAGTAAAATGTGTAGTATATGTATACTCCCTCCTGTTTATCCTCTATGTCTTTTGCTTAGTCCTAGCTAGTTATGTAGATAAATGAAATGCTGAACTAATTCTGGTTGGAATTGGGTGTACTTCTTCACATGTATAGTCTAATGTGTGAAATGTTAAATCATCATTCAACCAACTCAATCTTGCTTTACACTTCGATACTAGGAGTATCAAAAACTCGTTTTTTTTTAACTTAGCTCATTTTGACTCGGTCAAATTTAGACCATCTAAAAGTTGAGTGGTAGCCAAAAACCTTGTCAAATCATGATAAAAATGTACTCTTTTGATTTTGAAGTAACAAATGTTGGTATTGAGTCACATCATATTTTATAGTCACATTAAATGACATGCATCTATATATTGGTGAGAAGCTAAATAATTTAGAGCAATAAAAGTAGTAGTATACCCATATCAACAGACACCAACATTTATAAGCTGTCCTAATTTATTTCTTCTTTACTTACTGTTGCTACTATTATTCCATACAGCGTCGTAAGGTTGGTCCATCTCGCATTTGGAATCCCGAAATTATGTTTGGACATGAATCGATTGATATTAAGGGTGGTAAAATCAAACCCAAATCAGTTTGATTCTCCATCTTGAATTAGTTATCATGTTTTTCTTTTCTTAAGTCAATTTGAATAATTTTTTAATCTAAATTGAATTACATTAATTCAATATTATACATTTAAAATTTAGATATTTCAAAATTATACGATAAGTACTAATAAGAATTAAAATAAGGGAGGCAAGTGTAAACATTGTAAAAGTAGGTTAGTGTTATGAAGTAGAACTTCGATTATCTATGAAATCATTTAGGAGTTTGGGTATGTTCGATTTTTAATTTTCTCCGATTGATCAAAAAAACATTCTCTTTGAAAAAATAATGGAGAAATGATTTCTCTAACGGAAGTATAAAAAATAAGTTCCACTACTGACATTTCACATAGATTCCAGAACACACCCTTAACTGTAAACAAGTCTCACGTTGAAATCATCTTGTTGATTACATGTAGAAATTCTAATACATGGGTAATACGCATTTATCCCTTATAAACTCAGCTTGACGAAAATCACTAGCAAACTTCTCTCAAGCAGTATCAGCAGGCATCAACAGTTCAAATTTTCCGAGGTCATCGATACACTGATAAACAAACAAGTTCAGGCCTGTACTCGCAGACCGACACGAAAAAAAGAGTGAAAAAATATACAAGGTTCAACTAGTCAAAACTGGAACAAAGCCAAAACTGAAACTGCTGCACAAATTGTAGTGGATTAAACATACAAGGCAAACAAAAATCTAATTTTCTCAGGATGACAACACGTACTAACTAGTTCTCGATCGAAATAGGTATCAGTCTAATTTTCAGATTGCTGAGCAGTCTATGGTCTCTCTATCTTCTCCTCTTCCTCCGCTTCCTTCGACTACCATCACTTTCCTCAGAACTGGATGAAGATGATTCTGACTCGGATCCTGAAGATTCAGAACCAGATGAACTCCCAGACTCATCCGATTCAGAAACAGGCTTCTGTTGTTGCATGATAAGCCTTGGCATGTTCTTGAGATACTCTCGCAGACTCTCGGTGATTCCACCCAGACCGATAGAAGTGAAAAAGTTGATGGCAAACCTTGTATTCTTGGGATTATCTTTTGGGAAAATAGACTCCAAGGATTCTTGCATAGTGGGGTCGTTAAGACGCTCATTCAACAAGCGGATACCTAGGTGCTCTGACATTTCCTGCATAAATGAAACATCTAGAGTGAATTTGAAGCTAACAGAATAATGCGGTATTACTGCTGATGAAGGACGCCCAAGCACCCGCTGCTTAAAAAAGGAAGGAAAAGCATGAAACCCCAGAAATGGGCGCGCGCGGGGAGAATATGATGGGCTTCGACGTAATGCAACTTTTGACATGTGGTGATATATTTAGTAGTGATAATAAACTTCAAACAGGTGGTTAAAGTGTAACAACAAATTCTTTCAATATAGTAGTAGGGTCTAAGAAAATTAGGCCACAGAGATCAAACAAGCTGGAACTTACAAATAGGACAAAAAGATAAAACAAGGAGTACAAATAGAGATCAAATTAGATGTACCTGGAATAGAATCTTGATAAAAATACGAGAAGAGGAGGTCGTATCCTCCTCTGTCAGCCGTATATAAGCCAAACAATGCCAAGGCAGAGCATCAGTGCCGAGCAAATGAGCAAAAAACTTGGCCACATTACGCAGTTTGTTAGTTTCAAGCCGGTGAATCATGGAGTACTGCTGCACAAAACATTTTTCAAAGTTTTCCTGATGAATTTTGTTGATCATGCAAAAACGCTGTCCCAGCAGTCCATAGTAGCGAAGATAAGTCCTTTCCTGACTGCAGCATTCCAATAACATTATGCACAACTCCATCTGCAAGGACCAATCAATATATATATCATTTTTCTTTTCTTCATTTTTAGAAAAAAAGGTTTTTTAGCAGAACCAAGCAAAGAGTAGTTCATTAATACAAGTATAATCAACATGTCTCGGGATAAAATGATTACAACACCACAACGATTTCACTTTGATCTCCCAGAGAAATCAAGTCAGAATAACAGGCTACCAAAATATATTACTAGTTGACAATAAAGAGGTAAATTAATATATATACCAAAACATATAATTATCCTGATGTTGACTCTATCCAGTGACCTAAAATATTATCACCCATCATCTATTTTTTCCCTGAAATTGAGTGTGAACAAATATAAGAAATTCGACACCTTATTTATTTTATTTGGGGGGGGTGGGGGGGTTAAGTACCAATAGTAGGATATGTGAAACCGTTGTGCAATAAGAAATGGCAGAAAAGTGCTAGTTATCACTAAGTGGATAAGTACTGATTCAGACGAAGAGCAAAGAAAAACACCACCTTAATCCTTGTAGATAACACACAAAACATGCAAGAAATGGAGTCGAATCAGGATAATAACTGAAATTCATTGTTGAAAATTTGGTACAAGAACTAGCCTCAAAACACAGAGAAATACATTAACCTTTACTAATGTGTAGATATCCAATGCTCTCATCTTTTTTAAACTAATTCAGAAATTAACACTAAGTAGAAACCAAGGCAGTGCCAAAGAAAGTGAAAGACAGAGAATCCGACTGAAACTCAGCACCCTCCAGTACATCAAGCCAAAGCAACAACCTACTGGGAATACTCTCCTTGGGTATAAGTTGGTGAAAGGGAGTGCTTCGGATCCTATAAATAAAATCGCCAACTCCTTCAAATGCTTTTTTCCTTCTCTATAACAGTCCAAGAACAAGCACAAATGTGCAATCTCCACAATCTCTCACATTTTTCTGTTCTGCTCGATGTTCCACATGCGAACTAGTATTAGTTGGCAATGTGTACTGCTTATATACACGAGTTTTTTTCCATTATTCATGATATTGTGTGCCTTACAAAAAAACTAATAATAGCTGCAACCTTGCAGTGAATAGCAGGTGACTTGTGTCCTCCCCATGATATTTATACATGAACCATGAGCTAATTACTTCCTTAAATTATCAACGCTAGAAATTGCATTATTGGCTACATGAATTTCCACCTCCATCAACCACAAGGCATGCCAATTACATGGTTCCGTACCTCCATTGCCACCTCTATTCCTCAACCATCAGTTTAATAGAACCCCAGAAAATTTTTTCTATGGGTGCATGATTGAATGGCAATGCCCCTATTGTTATCTACACCACATACGAGGAAAAATCAAATTCAACAAAAGCTCAAATATTGGGTATTTGTTCTCTTTATTTGTATCCAGAAACTAATTTTTACTAGACCTTTATATAAGTCAATTACCTTCTTCTGTTTTAACTAAACCCTTTTCATGTAATGAAGACCAAATCAAAAGCAACATTACTATCCTTCCAAACTCAAAGCATATGAAAATCTACGTACAGATCAATCATGTGAGCATGCACACAGTTCCGTAAATGACATGGCCTTACAGGAGTAGAACAACACAAAGAGAGAGAAAGATAATGATACCAACCTCCTGACCAGGCTCTAGTTTGATCTTCAACAACTTGTGTCCTGCTTCTTCAAAGTCAACACTAGACATAATCGTCAGGTAGATCGTTCTCCGAAGGTTGATTAAGTTTGTCTCTGTTTCGTCCTTTATTTTCATTTGCTCCTCATCCTCTTCTTCATCAGACTCTTCATCTTCATCTTCATCCTCTGATTCTGCACCCGAATCTCCTTCTTCCTCAGATTCTTCACCAAGTATTGCCTTCTTTAATTCTTCATACTTCCTTTCGTTTTCTAAGAAATTAGGATCCGGCTTGAAAATATCTGAGCACATAGGACAAGCATAAATATCAAAATTCCATATAATTGCTCAACAAACAAAATAGCCATCAAAAGAAACCCATTATAGAAATTCTATAACAAAATCCATCATAAGACGTACCTAAAGCAATTTCTGGATCTATTGTGTCCGAGAGAGAGACTTCATGGGTTAATTGATCTTCCTGCTCAACAAGGTCAAGCTCTGGTCGCACAGCTTGGTAACCCTGCAGAGGATGCATGTAAGCGATCTAACATTTTTTCTTTCTTTTATAAATAATAAAAGAAGGGATCAAATTTTTCTTCGTACTCAGAAAACAATTGAAGACCAAACTCACCTGAAACTTTGCTTTTCGCAATGCAAAGAGGCTTTCAATTAAAAACTGAACCCGTTTATCTATTTCTCCTTCATGAAGTATACCACGGAACCGCTCAAAGATTCCTATTTAAACACAAAAAGGGTATTAGCATGACAAACACAGCAAAACCTTTTTACAAATAAACAAAAATGTAAGTTGTGAATATTATACAATGATCTTTCAAGGTACACTCACCATGCAATCCTCGTGGACAGAGGTCCTGAAGCATTGAACCACACTCTGTAACAAAACCAACTGCAACTTCAACACTATCATCTGTAGGTTTCTCCAACAAAACGGTAAGTAGTTCGAGAGCAATAAGCTCGTGAACAATTTGCTGGTTTACAAGGTGAGCAATAAACTTGACAGCTGCTAACAGCTGAGGCTGCAAGAGTGAAAGATTAAGGGTAAGACACAATATGAAAAGATTCAGATTATGAAACATGTATTGAAATAATTAGACTAACTGGCACAGTAACCCTCCACCCCCTCCTTCCCCCCTCTCTTGTAGTCATACTCTCAAAGGAGGATTTTCAAGTATCTATGTGACATCCAAATAGACTGTATGCTCTTGTCAACTAAACAGCAATAATTTACAACAACAATACAGTATGTTGCACAACTAAGAAGACAGAAGAACTGCAAGCATGGAAGCAAGAGATACGAACCTTATCATTACGTTTATAAGCTCTTTGCAGCTGCAGTATGATCCTTCTTAGCAACAGATCACCCACTTCTGGGAACTTGGTGTTAACCACTGCTACCAAAGCAGCAAATACATCAGTAAAACCGGGAGAAGCCATTTGGGACTTCATACAGGATCTACAGAACAGTCCCCTCCCACGGATCAAATTCTCTGCAAACAACTCTGGAATAATATTTTTGAGGTTCGCTGCATTAACTTTATTCACCAGCCCATTGATACTTTTCCTCAGAGCATCCCAAGTCATCCTCTGGTACTCAACACTGCTCTTGTCCTGAACATCCTTCATCATTCTAGCCAATTTGAATGGTGGAATGTAAACACCCCCACTCCTTCCCAACTTTGCTAAGTCAGTAGGCAAATTAGCATCTTGCTTTTGCACCTTGGAATCCTCATTGGCTTTAAAAGCCCCATCCTCTTGTGCATTATCTTTCCTATTCTTCTCTTTCCCATGCTTATCATCTCCATCCCTTTGCCGTATATCCTTTCTATTATTGTCATCACCATCAACCCTCTTTTCTCTCTCTACATCCTTCCTCCCTCTTTTATCCCCTTCTCTACCATCATTATACCGATCAACTCTATCCCTGTGTCCAATCTCATCCTTCCTTCTCTTATGCACCTTTTCATCGTCATCTTCCTGTCGCCTCATCTCCTTCCTATCATCGCTCTCACCTTCATTCCTTCGACTCCTCTCCTTCTTATCATCCTTCAAGTCACCACCTTCACCCTCATGTCTTCGCCTCTTCTTTCTCCTATCATCCCTTTCATCGTCATCATCAACTTGGGTTTCCTCTTTTCTGCTCTCCCTCTTATCATTATCATTCACCTGTTCATTTTTTCTCCTTCTATCCCTCCTATCATTGTCGTCCTTATTCTCATCTTTTCGCCTCATATCCATCCTTTCACCACCATCTTCATTTTCATCTCGCCTCTTACGCCTCGAATCATACTTTTCATCATCACTGCTATCCCTATTTCCATGTTCAGCTCTTTGCCTTCTTGCTCTCCTATCATCCCTATCTTTATCCTCACCATCATCATCACTCACACTGCGTTCAATTCCCCGCCTTCTTGCCTTCCTATCCTCCCTTTCATCAACATCATCAACTTGCTTTTCCTCTTTTCTGCTCTCCCTCTTATCATCCCTTTCATCATCATTCTCCTTATTCCCATCTTTTCCCCTCCTCTCCATCCTTTCACCACCATCTCCATGTTCATCTCGCCTCGAATCATCCTTTTTATCATCACTGCCATCCCTATTTCCACGTTCGGTTCTTCTTCTCTCCCTCCTACCCTCACCATCATCATCGCTCTCACGGCGTTCAGTTCTCCGCCTTCTCTCCCTCCTATCCTCCCTATCACCATAAGTTTTTCTATCCTCGTACTTTTTCCGCTCTACTTTCCCGCTATCCTCATCCTCTGATTTGTCCCTTCTCCTACGGTGCCCATTCTCACTCAAATCCCTCTCCATAATCTTAAACTTCGCTTACAATTACAGATTCAATAAACACAGCACATATAATGTCTAAAATACAGTATCTTAAAAACGACTACTATATGTTTTTCAATAACAGTAAATCTAGGGTTTGTTGACCTAAATACCTGCGATTCAGTGCAAAGCAAAACCCCGAATCTGATGAAGTTGAAGAACACAACTTTTGAGATTTAGTGAACTGGAGCTCGAAATCAAGCAGCTGAAAATACAATGAAAATTTGGGTAAAACACCTAATTTTCATAAGCAAATCCGAAAATATTCAAATTTCTTTTTTTTTCTTTTAATTTTCCTTTAAAAATATATAATTTAAATCATACTTTCCACTATTATTCTCTGTGAAATCATAAATATAATCTTGTAAGTAGTGCAATTTATCTTCTATAAAATATCAAACGGACAAATATAAAAAAGAATCAAACATTCATTTTGAATTTTGAACAAAAAATTCACTTAATATGTAATAGTGGGAGTACAACAAAACAGAGAGGGGAACAATATAATTATTAAAACTTTTGGGCTCTCAAATACAAGAAATACTACACTTTTGATCTAAGGATATATTGAAAATAGTCTTTGTCTAATAATCTAGACATTATTCTCTCCAAATTATAATGTTATAAAATATCGCATTCTTTTAACTCTTTTTTTTTGTGTGTGTGTGTGACAACGAGATTATTTTATAAATATTAAGTAAGAGATTTTATTACACTTATTTTGGATATGTGCTTTGTGCGTGTACTAAATATTACAAGTAATTTTATAAAAATCATAATAAAATTCGTATGAGAAAAAATGAAGTTTGCACCACACATAATTTGGGCCCGGTATTTGTTCAACTTATTCATTTGTTGGACTCCCTGACATTTTGAAGCCCATACAGCTCATTTGAATGGGCTTCACATCTTTGTGAAACTTTGGGCCCAAGCCCTTCATTGGATATTCTTGATATTTTACGTCACAAAGCAAACTAAGCCCATATATTTGTTTGAAAGGGAAAATTTACATGGTTAAACAAACATAAACTAGTTAATTAGTCATCATAGCTATAGTTTGAGTTAATTATCACTTGCGATCAATATTCAGTGATAGTTACGTGGGCTGTGATTTCGAATTTGTATAATTCGTACATTTGTATAATTCATAATTTGTATAACTTTTGTATAATGTAATTTTGTATAATATAATATATATAGCTTTTGCATAAAGTAATTTCATATAATATAATTTGTATAACTATTTAAAGTTCAGATGTTTGTGTTTGCATAAATTAGTTGTTTCGCGTTTATACAAAAATAGCTCAATTATACAAACTCACCCGCAAATTATACAAAGGAGGCAGTTTAAACTGTAACTACAACCCGTAAATATGCAAACTATAGCGAGAAAACAACCAAATACCCCCTCAATCTATTGTGCAATTCTCAACTACACACCAATACTTTACGGAGATCCTATTACCCCTTGAAGTATTTTGAACAGAGATATTAACACCTTAAGTGTTGACGTGGCACAACAAGTGTGTTCACTTTCCTAGAGGCAAGTGTAAGGCAGATAAATAGGTCAAAATTCAATGATTTGACAACTGCCATTTCTTAATTGAATTCAATACAATTAATAAATAAATTTAGTTAATTACAATCACATACTCTCTCTCTAACCATTTCCAACCTCTAAAAATTAAACCTCTGCAATTGAATTTTGTCATGGCTTCCATGGACAATTACCTATACAATATTTTATTTTTTCATTTTTTTTCACTTCTAATCCATAATGAACTTTTTCATGACTAACACTTTCAAATCTTTCCTAAAAATAGACAACATAACCAAAAAAAAGAAAATGATAATCCTTTAATTTCTTTCACCTCAATGGAAAATACCTTCAATCCGATATTGAAAAATGATATTACAACTTCTGCTAGAGGAATCTTTTCGATTATAGTAGCAGCCCAAATTTCTTGTTAGGAATTGAAAACGAGTATTAGAATTTGAAATTTGTGAGTTTCTTGATTCGAACTGAAAGTGGGTATCAGAATTTGAAATTTGGCGAGGAAAAATTCATCTTCAAATCCATAAAAAAAGCAACTAGAGAACCCAGATGCAGAACTACACAATAATGACAACAAGATACCATAATAAAAAGATTCAACATTCATGTTAATTTATTGAATTCAACAATAATAACTAGATTTTGTGCAAATAAATGATCGAAAAGATAGAAAAAAGATGGAGGATGATGGGTGTGATAGAGATGGAGATGGATTGGAGAAGATGAGACATTGGGAACAATGGAGAAAAAATAGAATGATTTAGGAAGATGAATAGAATGGTGGAGAAAAAATGAAAAGCATTAAAATTGATGTATTTTGGTGATGATTTTTTTTTTTAAAAAAAAATTATTCTGAAAAATAGGTGTGTGCATTACACTCAACAACAAAGATTTGGGGGGTGACGTTTTAAGGGTGTCAATATTTGTGTTTAAAATACTCTAGGGGGGTAATAGGACCCCCGTGAAGTATAAGTGTGTAGTTGAGAATCGAGTAATAGGTTTTCTCAACTATAGCTATGGAGCATAATTAAATTTATTATAATGACTAGTTGCAAAAATTCCTCCTGAAATAGCGACTCTTTAAAACATTCAATATGCGCATCTCTAAAATGAATGATTCATGTAGTCGAACATCTCGATAGGAATCCAAATTGATTCTCAATAGCTAAGATGATTTAGATCGAGATAGGTTAACTAATGATTCATAATCCAATATGTTTAAGTAGAGCCGTCAAAAAGGGCTTAGCCCATGGGGCCGGTCCGACCCAACCCGTTATTGGGGTAGGGTTGGGATAGTACTTTACATGCACGTTTAAAATCCGGGGCTTATAAGCCCAACCCTTTTAGGCCCTTAGTCCTTGAGGCTTGATCGGGGCCGGGCCGGGGTCGGCCCATAGGCCAATTTTTTTAATTTTAATTAAAATAAATATTAAAAAAATAAGAATAAAAAACTAGAAAACCTAAATAAGTGTTTGTGGAGTTTTTCTAAGGAGTTTACCTCATGAATTTCTTTATTATTTAGTTTTGAATATAAGACTTGGATAGTAAACACTATTTATATTATATGTGATAGAATGTTTCATGGCTTGAACAATTAATTAGTTTCTTGATTATATTTAAAAAAATACTTTAAGTAATTATATATTGCTAACTAAGTTTTAATCAGAAGTGTTTTTTAGTTTACTAGTTTGTTTTTCAGATATTATTATTTTTTTCTTTAAATATTTATTGCTAGATTTTATTTAGAATTATTGAAACAATGTTACTGTTTATGACATTGATTTGACATAAAAAAAAAAAAAAAGGGTCAGCCCGCCCTAGCCCTTGACCCTTCTGGGATTGGGCCGGGTTGACCATTTTATAGCCCTTTGAAATGAAGGGCCGGTCCACTCCAGCCCGTCAAATTCTTTGGCCCGAGAGGTTTGGGTGGGGTAGGGCTGAGCTGACCCATTTTGACAGCTCTATGTTTAAGTCTTACTAGATTTTAATTTCTTTGTTAGTTTACTGTACATTTGTTATATTAACTGTTTCTTTTGTCTTATTCTATATGGCTATGTATAATATATAAATAAATAAAAAATTTAAAATAATATTTTGATAAGTTTTTTCAAACATGGGTCAATGGGTTACATATCCCATCCAAATCATCCGATCCTTTAGAATATATCGATCAAATTAAGTTGGTGTGAGTTAATCAATGAGCGAATTATTAATCCACTCAAACTTAGGCGAGTTAGGTAGAGTGGTCATATATTCATTGGCTTATCAAACCAAACAACACATTTGGGTGAAATGAAGTGTCATTACTTTACGTCCCGTCTCTTCCAAGAACAAGTTGTGCAAGAAACAAAAGGAAGAAGAAAACAAGATGTACAATGCTAGTGGGTTATACTTTCTCCATCCCAAAATAAGTATAAAAAAGTTATTACAAAATAAGCATCATCTTAGAAATTCAAGACTAAAATTAGCATATCTTTTTCAACTAATTAGACCTTTATATCCCACCTTCTTAACATTGTTTAATTTTTAAGAGACATTTGTTAAATAGAAATAGTTTAATAAACTGCATATTGTGTATTTTTAATTTTTTTAATGAACGTAATTTTACTAAGTTGATATTTATTTCAAAACAGAGAAAGTAATATACTTGCTTGAAGAAACTAAGATCGATTAGGCATAGTGGCCTCCATAATAAGTGGTTCTAAAGGATTGCCAATAAATGTGGGATATCTAGCAACTGAATCTTTGACCAAAAATGGCTGACGAAATATAAAGTATATTCTATATAATTATGAATTTTGCTACTGAGTTCCAATAAAATGATGAACATGGTAACATTATTTTTCAAAAAGGTGACGACGTGATTGAGAATATATAAGATCAAGTAATACTAGATGACAGTTTTATTTATCAATTATGTAGTCGATCGGATCAGATAAATATTCTTTTTATATAGGTCATTAAAATAATCTACTCTTTTCTCGAAAGATAGAGGGAAATTAGCTATAGGCAAAATAATAGCCGACATAGAAATAGCTAGTAGAATAGGAACTTGACTTATTCGAAAATTAGATTTATTGCTTCCCCTCATCTTATCATTGGCAACAACTCATATACGCAATCAAAACATTGCTAATATAGGATTATTCTCCTTCTATCGAAATATGTAAATGGTAACATAGTCACGCTACTTCAATTAAATAGAAAAACTAAATTCAAATGATGAAAATCGAATACTCTTTCTTCGAATTATTCAAATTATAAGTGACTATATGTGATAATAGTAATATATTTTACATGTTGCTGCTACGAAGTTTTCTTTTAAATGTTAGGCAAGTATAAATTGATCACGAACCAATTTTTGGTACTCTTGTTCTATCAATGATGAACTAGCACTTTTAACATATTATTTTTCAAGTTGATTGTCATATGATGATTCAATTAGTATTTGCTATTTCAGAAAAACACCTTTTTTTTGTTGAAATTTTTTGAAATTAAGAGGAACGTGACTTTCTAAGGTAATATATTCATCAGTTGCGTGACTATATAAAAAAAAAACTCGTTATTTTTCTACTTATACGTACAATTTGATA